GCCCTATTCCAATACCCTTATCACTTAATGAACTACAAGGGTTTTAAGAGCACATTGTCAGGCAGGAGTAGAGGCAGAAAGAGAAAGAGAGAGAGAAAGAAAGACAGAGGGTTAATATTTCACAGTATTGCACTAGTCTAAATGAGGATAGTGAAATCACATTAGCTCTTTTCAAAAGCAATTTGATTGAAAAATTACTAAATAACCAGTTACAATAAAATATTAATATAAGATGACTAAAAATTTGCCCAAGCCACCTGTATACCAGCTCCAACCTAGCAAAGTCACTGTTGGAAGAAAAGACAGACTGTACTAAGAATTAGAAGAGCAACACTCTAGCACTCAGTCTACAAAGAGAAGGGAAAAAAACTGTAAGTCCATAATTGATTCCTAGTCTTCTAAGATAGTAGAATTTCAGTGTGACCTCTTGTCCCTATGTGGCTCCTCACATCTAAGGATGTCCAATGAGTGCTATTAGATAAGCACTCATTCAAAGACGCTGTACTGTCACAAATTTCCTATTTACCCTTGAGGCACATTTTGGTATATCTAATCCTTTGTTATGTTTCCAAGACATATTTTAAAGAAAGTACCATAAAAGAGAGACATGTGGGCATAAAGTAATTCTAGTACGAAAGGGAACCAAACTCACTGTTATCATCATAGAGAACCACAGTGGTATGGTTCAGGAAAAACAAAAAGAGTCATTCAGCCTGTCCCTGAGCCTTCTTAAGCAATGGTCTCTCCCTCTCTAAGCAAAAATTTTCCATCTGTAAAGTAGGAATCTGGCTGCACAATTTGAAAGGCCCAGTGAGACCATGATACTCTGTGATCATCTTGGGTCTGCAATTGACTTTATAACGATCTCTGAACTTCTCATCTCCATTCTTCTAAAACTATTGCCTAATGTACACATGTCTAAAGGATTAGAAATTTTAGTTCCAAACACTAAGGTATAGTGTCATGTGTGTGTGTTACCCTGAAATCCACTTTAGCCAGAAACACTGTTGTTACTACCCTAACTTTCTCTTCCTTGCTAGAAGAAGCCCTGAACATCAAAAGGGTTGGAAGGTACTAAGTACCTTCTGTCATCTCCTTCATATTTTGCATACTTTGTAGGGCTCTTAGACTAACTTATTCTTCAAATAAGACATTCACTTTCAACATTCCTATACTTTCTCATCCATGTTATCCTCACACATTAGATCCAATGTCCCTCCTATAACATGTATAGCCAAGTGAATCCAAATATTCTGCCTGCTCTATGCAGTCCTCCCTGACACTGCAAAGGATAAGATACAATGTCAATACTTCTGCTTTTAAGTCTATGAACAATTTCAACACATGGTGAGTCATATAATAACCTAAGTAGAAAACTAAGGCCCTTCTTTTGTATCAATCTGAATTATCTATGTGCTTATCTCTTCTGCAAGATAAGGATTTACTATAGAGCAAGGACATGTTGGCACTAACCTTTGTAGTTCCAATACTAAATCTATAGATGATCTTAGAACATGTTAAGTGAATGAGTGAATAGATAGATAAGTATGTGAAATTAAGACCCATCACCCTCCCCCCCTAAAAAAAAACACAAATAAGAGAACAGAACTAACATTGAGAAGGGTTATGAGAGTTGGAGATCCCTTTGAATAAAAGGGGTAATTATTTCAATAAAGCTATTTTCAAGAGCTCAGACATTTTTCCGAGTTCTTATATGAATGGAGGTACCTGGGAACTCTTACTGTACAAACATTCCACCTATGTATCACTGCCCCTCAAATCCATAACTCAAAGCATCCTTACAAAGGTGATTCACAGGTAGATTTGGAAAAAACATAGTAAACATGCTTGACTGAGAAAATCACAGACCCACAGCCTACTTTAGATGGCCAGGTGACTCATCAGGTTTTGAATCTGAATTTTTCTTTGGCTCAAAAAAAGAAACATCAAAGTAGGACATTAGCAGTCTACATTTCTAGGTTTTTCAAGTATCTTTTAATTACAATTACATCATACTATACTGCAGACATCATCTTCTCTTGGCACATATTTTTAATATTTTAAGTGTGTGATTATTATTCTCATAGCATATAATTATATTAACCAGTAAATACTAACAACAGATCTAATTCAGTTCCACTAGAATAAAGGTAACTCAGATGGATGACCTATATCTCCTAATTAACTCTTCTTTTCCTAAATTATAATAACTTAAAAGAATGGAATGGATCACTCTTTTATTGTTTAATTGGACATGCACATGGAAAGTAGGCTTTATCCTAACTATGAATTTACTCTACTGAAGAGTCATCATAATTATTTTTTAAATCTTCTGAACGTTTTTGTTTTTATGAGAAAGGCACATTCATGAGACATGTTCATTCATATGACTAATGTCATAGCTTTTATTAATGACAAAAGATTAACAAATAAAGTAAAACTTGACATCCCCTATCTGGCTTTAAAGCTTAACATCATGGACAGGCCTAAGCTCAAAGTCTAGTTGTGCTCACACATTACACAGTAGTCATATGGTCAAAGACAAGTCACTTATCTGCTGAGTCTTAGTTATCTCATCCATGAAATAAGCACACCATGCGTTGAGATACCGCTACCTCACTCAGGTGAGAATATATGTGAAAGTGCTTCATAATCAGTAAGCTGCTGTTCAAATACCAGTGATTATGAATTTGTGTGTATAGTAAGATTGCTCAAACAATAACATCACTGCTGAATAAAGCCATTAAAATGTAGAATTTATGGGAGGCATGTGTAGACATAGCCTTGAAGAATGATGGTTATGTAAAGTAGAAACCTCGCAACTAATCTTCTTCTTATATATTAGATTATAAGCCTTTAGGAGAGGGGAAGAAGGAACATTCAATGAAAACTCTGCTAAAATGAAAAAGGCCATGAATAGTGGCACGTGCCATTAATCCTAGCACTTAAGAGACTGAGGCAGAAGGATTATGAGTTTGAGGCCAGGCTGGGCTACACAGCAAGTTCCCATCTCTGTCTCAAAAACAAACAAGTTTTAAAATAAAACAAAACAAGAATGTATAAAAGCATTTGAGCATAAGATGGCAGTCAGTGGCCTTGCTGTCCTGAGAAACTGGTCTTGACATATTTGATTGGGTAGAATTGGAAAACTGCTGAACATCAAATAATAAAGTAAGTATGGTTTGCTGGAGAACATTTCTTGGACCTGAGCCAATCCTCCAATATCTTTCCAAAGATGGTCTTAATTCCTACTTTCCTTTTCAGAATGAATTTTAGCTTTCCTATGCTTGAAAACTTTCAAGTGTTCTCCATTATCTACAAACAACTAGCTAAAATATTAATCTAGCATCTAAACTTGTCCACAGACTGTTGGTAGGTAACCATCCTGTCCCAAAGTTCAAGCTTTCCTAGCTTCATGTCTTTCTCTCCAGTCTGATGCTTGCAGTTCTCTGAATACAGCCCATCCTGCCCTTTGTCTCAGACTGCTCTCTCTTGTCTCCAACAACACCATTCCATCCATCTTTCCAGGTAAACTTATAAGTTTTCTGATAAGAATTTTCATATTCTGCCACCTTCAAAAGATATTACTCTTTTCCGTGTGCTTTGGCCATGTCAGCCATCGTGTAGCTTATATAATATTAGGCGTTATTAGAAGATAGTCACTGAGTCAGTCCTATGATTCAGGAACATCTACTTTCTATTTCCTTTCAGTTCTCTGCAAAGACCACTATGCCTTCTATACACCAGCAGCACAGAGTATGCTTACAAGAATGAGACATTTTTACTTTTTACACAACTGGTGGAGCAAAGATAGCTAAGGAAAAGCTAATCTCTAGTATATTTTGCCTTGTGCACAAACATAGCTGCCAATCCCATTATATATGTGGTAAAAGTAACAGGGTCAAGTCTAAAGAGGGAGGCTCTGCAACCTTATGTACAGTTAAATGGTGAAATGACTGATGGCAAAGAAGCAGGCCTGCTACTTAATTTGTGAAAAGGTACCACTGTTAATAAAGCAGCTGCACCCTCAATGATGGGAGTAGGACTCAGAGTGGTATATGCACTGTTACTTAATCAAGCAAACATCATACAAGAGCCAAAGAACATAATGACAAAAGTACTTGTCCAATCATTACATCTAGAGTTTTTTTTTTTTTTTTAACTAGAGCTCTGATATCTGTCTTCTAAGGACTTAGAAGTCCTGAAATAGATTTGCCATGACCCTCTCCAGACGTACAGAGATAGGGGATGATCACTCATGGCAGAATAACAGACTGAGATGCAGAAAAATAGCCAAGCTCCAAAGTAAGCAAAAATGCAAAGGAAAACTGTTAACAAGGTGCCATTTGCACTTTAAAAACACTTATTATTGCTGTCACCTAATTTTGGTGAACTTGAAGAGAAACTGATATAGTCAAGCTGCTGGTGCCAGAATAAACTATTCACAATATTCAGAAACAAAAGCAAAGAAAGTAATCATTCTCTTCAGTGTAGGAATCCCACTATTAGGAGTTTCAGGCAAGGAAATAGCTCAAAAGAAAATATACATAAATATGACCCTTTTAACATGATTCACAACAATAGCAACAAAAATGGAAAGTACCTCAATATGCAACACAAAGATTTCTTTGCAAGAGAGCTCCCACCTTAACCTTATATACATATAAGTCATATTTGTGGAGAGTATTGCATGTAATCAAATCCATGTATACACAGAAGCAGGAAAAGAGCAGGGCAATGAAATAAGAAGAGACTAATTTTTATAAGGTTTCTGTATAACATTATTGCATTATTTTTAAAGAAAACAGTGATAAAATCAATTTTAGAAGTTTCTGCCAATTAACTAGCACATGTTGAAATTAAGTAAAAAGACAACTTATACCATTAGCTCTAAGAAGATCAAAGAAAAATGAAACGGCTCTAAGAAGCAGCCTTATCTTTCAAGTAGAGTGGATCATCTGTAGCTGGCCACATGGAGATATGCTACAGGCAGCACTAACCTGTGGGGGCCGAGGTTTGTAGGGGGAACTGCACTCAAGGTCAGCTAAGATACTGGTCAAGGAGTCAATCTCGGCATCCAGGCTGGAGCGTCTCTCCTCCAGCGTCTTGCCTCCCGGATTGCCCTGCTGAAGAAACACACATTTAGAATAACTAAATTTCTATTGCTAGCACTAGCAGTTCAACTTTCCATGTAATAGTGTGGTTTTTTTGCATGCTTTCCTGTACATCATCTCTTTAAGTTTTGTTAAATCTCAATAAGGTAGGCTGGAAAAGAATTATCCCTTTTTGACAGATGAGGAAACTGAAAATTATCAGGTGATTTTTCTTAGGTCAAACTCTAATTTTGACACTCTACTTGATGAATATACAAGTAAAAGATAAGAAATGTCCTCATCTCTGAACTTGAAGGAGCAGAAGCAACTAAAGAAAGAAACATCAGAGGCCCTTTTGCATTCAAAAAGAATTGCATGACTTCTCCAGGACCCCTTGTAGAACCAGAACTGAAGTAATGCCAACCAGGCCACACAGGTGACTGGGACTGTTTAACTATACATACCTTTTCTAATTCTTTGTCTATTTAAAGCTAAAGCTCATGTCTGTACCCCAAAGATAGCTAAAGATTGGCCAAAGACTTACTTTGCCTCTTCCCACAGAATGTCCTGAGCTGTGTAATAAATTTCCTTTCTCTGCACTTCAAAAAAAAATTGCATAGAATGATTGTATTTTATTAGAGTAGTAATGGGCAAAGAAGGGAGACTGAGAGTTCAGAAAGAAAAATCAGCATTTACAGGCATGAGAATATGTAGTGTTTGGAGTCAGGGGCTATTAGATGTGTGCGTGTGATAGAGAAATAGCAGGGCCCAAACAGTGCCCATAAAACATGAACTAGAGACCACTCAAGACTGTCCATGAGTTGCAGAGGAAGCTGGCCAAGTGAACACTGATGAGGAAGTCAGGGATCTATGGATTTCATATGTCAATAACCCATGTTACCTGAACTCAGAATCAACAGAGCACAATAACACTGCCACAGGACATAACCAAGAATTGTGAGCAGATTTGGGAAAAACAAGCAAATAGTTGGTCTAAAGTTCAAGTCAAGAAGATATAAAGTGAGGTGGTCCTAAGATTTAGAATCAGGGATAGATAAAAATAATCTACAAACTGACAACGCTATGATGATCATCTCTGCATGATGCAAAACTTTCTTAAGGCTATAACAAGAAACCAAAATGTATCTTCAACAAGCCCCAGAAAGAATGAAATAACGGGCAGTTACTGTAATCTAATAAACTCCATTGGATTTGTCTAAGAAAGACAAATACCAGGACCATGTCTAGTGTTTGCAAGAGTTTAGAAAAGGCATTAGCCATGAAGCAAAAATGTTCTTAGTAATAACAAAAAAGAAAAAAAAGAGTATTATGACAAGCCAGCATTAAAGTTTACGGACATTGAAGTAAATCTGTCCTTGAAGTGAATATGCTACATCAGGCATAATACGTAACAGCACTGCCTATTAAGACTACTAGTTCCTTTTTTGCTAGTACCTTGCTCACCATGTCACCTCTGAGTTTTGGATCCTATTGAAATCTCTTTGTTAGAGCAACTTTATGAAGTTGTGGACCAGCACTTGAAGCCAAACCCCAGCTGCCACTTGGCCTCCTAAGGCAATTTACTATCCTTGTTTCTGAATCCTCTTTAAAAATGGGTATCTTTCATCACATTTTGAAAAGCACCCATCCCATGATTTTCTCACTCCAGATAGATTGTTATGTCCCTTCTACATCACTCTATCCCCTCAGCTTGTTTTATTTATAGCACTAATAATGTCTACTAGCATCTAAACATTGTATTTTATGAGCATTTGTCCAGGTATGGTTGGTCTCTATCCTAGGATAATTTAAGTTTTGCAAGAGCAAGGATGTTGTCTATTTAGATCCTCATTGTTTCCCCATAATCTTCCTTGGGCCCTGATGTATGTAATTGTCCAGCAGGTATTTTTGAGTCAATAAATTACCAAATAACAACTTTGAAATAGGTCCAGTACCCTTTTCCTTATCAGTATCTTTGGGTAAAATAAGCTTAAAATTCAACAAGTGGCAGGTGCTATAGTACATTGTTTAACAAAGGAGACAAAAGGACTCTGTGTGTGTGTGTGTGTGTGTGTGTGTGTGTGTGTGTGTGTGTGTGTGTGCCTGTACAGGCATATGCATGTATATATCAGGCTGGATAGCCCAGATTTCAAGGGGTGGACTTGAGAAATTGAATGAGTTTCTTCAACTCCCTTGGCCCAGCCAAAATGAAAAAATTGTGGTTGCTGATGTTTTTCTCAGAGACTAAGCTTTTAAGTATGACGCCAGAGGGTGTTGCCATAGGAATTGATATTTCCAATGTGCTAATCCCTCTAACTGAGGACATTTCATCTTTAACCCAAAGGACATCAATGTGAAAAACTGAAATTATAAAGAGAAAGATCTCCTTAGCATTTAAAATGCATGTAAACATTCTGAGTAATGGGTCCTGGCACATAAGGAAAGGCAGGATACTATTGCTATGGAAGGCAACTGAGAATCAGGTGAATTTGATCTTCTTCTATACAGACATAAAATATTATAAACATGAATGTGATAAATGAATTTACATATACTCATAGACAGCACAATATATTGGCTATGATAGTGGATTGGAGTCTGATTAAAGTCTTCCCAGGGCCATAGTTTCTTCATCTGGAAAAAAGAAGAGAACATCACCAGCCCTACCCAAGCCAGAAGGATGTTACAAGATTCAGATGGGAAAATACTTTGTAAATTGTAAAGCACTATAATTATGGTGATTTTCACAAACAGCATTAATTATAGCAAGCAGTAACTATAAATTAATAGGAATAATATAGCTATTGTTAATTATTCTTCTTCTTGAGGTAAGCATCATTCATTAAGTGTTCCCTTAGGGAATCAGCAAAGAGACAGGATATAATCAGGTCTTTGACAACTGTACTTTACTGTAGCAGAATGTACACCAACTGCCTATGCCCTAAGTCACTGAGATACCTAACCAAAAAGACTCAAAAGTTACAGAATTACCCTAGTAATTATGGTGTGCAAACAGCCTACATTTGGAAGACTTCAACTAGTTCCTGGCCTTCTTACTCCCTCTTTCTCTAAATTGGGACTGATACCTACATTCAGTTTCCCAGGTTGGGATGATGCAATTTAAACAAGTTCTAGCCTAATCCTGGGGGATTTTTCACAAACACTCCCCCCCCAACTGCCTATCTGACTTTAAGATTAACTTTGTTTTAATTCCCATTATGAGTATGAATAGCAGCCTTTCTCCCTCTTAAGTCTATGATTTTATATCTCAGTTCATATAGCTGAAAGTCCTGCCCAAGTCCCCAAACCAACCTTTCTCTTGATATCTCATCTGTTCTCTTAGTGGCATTGGATTTGTGGGCTATCTTGCTATTCACACCACAATCCTATAACTAGCCAACAAAATCCTTCAGACTTCCCAACATGTCTTCTTCTTAATGCACTAATATTCTAGTTCTGCCAGTCACATGGCAGTTAAAAGACCTGCAAGAGGCCAAATAACAAACTAGAAAGAGTCTCCTGATTCTTACCTCATGTTTGCTTTAGATTTTACGTGAATTCTAATAAAGTAGTCATTATGATAATAACAATTCCCATAATCTTCTACTGTAACGAGAAAGATTCCATTGTCTAAGTATGAGTTCTGCCAAAAATGATGCATGAAACAAAAGCATGCACACAGGTTATTTATTAGCGGAATCAATCCCAAGAATTAGTTCTGAGCAAAGAATAAGCAAAAAATAGTCCAGATGTGTTATACTATGCTCCTTAGCAATGACTGCAACTAGGGCACCATCTTTCTTGGATACCTCAGAGGAGATTTAAACATTCCTCAGATCTTCCCACCTGAGGGATGGAAAAGAAGACATTTATTCTAAGGCTACAGTTCTCTACTGGTTTAGAATTCCTATGGAGTTTTAAACCCCATTCCCCATGCTTGACCCAAGAATTAGAATGGTGGAACAGAAAGTTTAGGACAGAAAGTGAGTGAACAGTATTAAAACTGAGAACAGATGCTACCAAATCATATTCATACAGGGCTAGTTATTCTAGCAATGATTAGTATACAAAGATGAGATGAGTAGATCAGAGCTGGGGCTCAAAAGGTATACAAAGACTGTATCCTTTCATGAAGATGAATGTCCCAATGAATTGGAAAATATGGAAGAAATGGATAAAAATCTAGACACATGTGGCCTATCAAAATTGAAACAAAAGTATATAAACAACTTAAAGAGCAATAAGATTGAAGCAATAGCTAGTCTCCCAAAAAAGAAGAGCTGAAGAATGGAGAGATTCACTTCTGAATTGTGGCAGAACTTTAAAGAAGTAACATTATTGCCTTCAAACTACTCCATAAAATAGAAAAGGAAGGGATTCTACCAAACTCATTTTTTGAAGTCAGTATTACACTGAGAGCAAAACTGGACAAGGACACAATAAAAAAAGAGTAACTATACACCAATCACCTTGAAGAACATAGATGCAAAATTTCTTAATAAAATATTTGTAAAACAAATTCAACAACATATTAAAAAGGTTCATGAACAAGTTCATTGTATTCCAAGGATAAAGGATGGTTTAACATACAGAAATTAATACAAAATGTAGAACATAAATAGAATTAGGAAAAAAAATCAGATCATCTCTATAGAAGCAGAATAAACTTTTGACTAAGTTCAACATCCCCTCGTGATAAAATCCCTGAAGAACCTAGGAATAGAATGTGAGTATCTCAACAAAATAAAGATTAACCTACAGTCAACATTGTACTAAGTAGGACAAAACTGAATGCATTTCCAATAAAATCAGGAATGAGACATAGGTGTCCACTCTCTCCACTCTTATTCAATATAGTATATGAATTCTTAGCCAGAAAAATAAGACAAAAAAAAGAAATTTAAGGAATACAAATAGGAAAGAAATTATCCTGTTTGCAGATGATATGATTCTAAACTTAAAAGTTTCTAAAGAATCCACCAGAAAACTCTTAGATCTGATAAACACTTTCAGCCAAGTAGCAGGATACA